CATTTAATCTCATCTATATAGAATGTTAGAATTATTACAATCAATTTGATAAACCACATCCAATTTATCTTTGATAACTTTTTCTATTTAGGATATACAAGGTTTGATTGCAAATAGCTACGCCACGATTTAAAAATGGCTTGATTTCTGCTGGTCTACTTAATAGTACTTATCCTAGTTAATTTTTCGCTAATAGCCTGGATATTAGGTAAGGTTATATATCTACTATGTTAAGAGCCTCATCACGTTGTAAAAAAAAATCCTTTTTTAAGGAAAAATTATCCAACTGGATTACTTTATGAATGTCAAGCTCAATTAATTTACAAAGGTTTTATAGACAGATTTCTTTTAGCACTTGGGTAATGTTAATCAAATGTAGTTATATATATATTGTGTTCGTTTATGAACACTTGAGAAAGAAAGGGTATAATTCGGTGAACATGTAATCAACATATCAAAAAAATACAATCTTGTTCAAAGGTGAATTGGATAAATATGTTTGTGAATTTAGGTGAAAACACAAATCGTCAGTATCAGAACTAACAACAAAAAATATCATAAACGAATCTTAACATCCTATCAAAATATTTCGAAGCTGTTGTTTCAAAGTATTCCATAACTAATTATGCAATCAAAGTTGAAATATGTTTATTATATTCTACTGTAAGCAAATATTTTCAAATATCCCACACTGTGGACTCAATATTTACTTTTAGACTCCATTTTAACAAGTTAAAAGCACAGATAAAGTTCCTTAGTGTAATGATTAATTGGTATTTTGCAAAGTATATTTTGAACATGGTTCATTGTTTCATTTGACTCTATCTTCTGTTAACCTTATAACCCGTGATTACGAAAAATTACTTCCTAAGATCACGTCTAGTTTGCAATGAAGAAGAGGAAGAAGCTTTGACTTAGATAAGCATTTCAGTCTCAACCTTTTCAATACCAGAGACCTGCTCACTGCCTCCCTACACTGTCGCGGACCACTAAAATATAAAATACAAGTACAGTGAAAAATCATTACGATTTAAATATGAATATTCTGTCTGTTTTTATTTGTTTGTGTTCGTGAAACACTATGGTCTAGTAAGGTGGTTGTAATGAATTAGCGATTGTAAAATAATGGTTAAGGTGGCGGCACAATCTGAAAGTGTTTAGAATATTCTACTTAGGTCAATCCATGGAGAAAGCATTGTATGTATTCTTGTTCCGTCCTCAGGAGTGGGAGGTAGAAAGGTAGCAAGAGGAAACCCTGATTACCACACTAACTCGAACCCTACTGATTAACTCTTGTATGCGGTAGCAGAGAATGGAAAGAAAGATATCATGAGACAAACTGTAGCAATCTTTGTGGATGCCCTATCTATGCATTGACTATTCTAGGGATTGCCAAAATTACAGAGATAGAGGGGTGGTGCATTCAGTGGAAGAAAGACTTGGTTTGGTCTGAAGTTTCATTGGTGATAGTGTCCAGGGTCAATGGTGAGGAGTGGAATTCTCCGAAACTAGTCTGGCTTACAGACACCCCCCCCCCCATTGAAAGAATAGACCATTCCAAACTTGTTGTTAAACAAATGTTTAAACAACTCTATTCAATCCTTCAAAGAATAGTTGTTGCCTCACTAGGTGAGGCAGATAGCATCACATAATGATCCTTTAGATCTTGATGGCAGTCAGAACATTCTAGGCCAGCATGACATGCTCATGATGGCTAAAGTAGTTGTGGAATACAATGACAACAAGTATCCTTAAGCATTGCAGTGCTCTGCTATTAACATCATTCGAGGACACTGCATTCATTAGAATGTGCATGTCTCTGGACTTTTGAGAGAACAAGATATTGTCACTTAAACAATTACGTGTCTCAACCACAAGTAGAGATGGTAGAAGTAAGCATCTGTCTCCATCACCATGTGCTATGTGAAGCATGTTAACCTTTTAAAGGATAGCAAAGATAGTTCAGGCTATTTCTTTAAGCATTTCAGACAGGGTTCTTCTGGAAATGATGAACTCAGGGACGAGTAATGCCACATCAAATAAAATACTAAAGCAAACGTAGCTACCAACAGTGGTTAATAAGACTGATTTGGCTCTGAAACAACTTAAAGGCCTGACAACAACCATGAAGGCCTAACTTAAATGTCAACTTACAGCTCCACTGCTAGGGTCACAATTTTCATTACGGAACAAAAGGAATTCCAATGTCCAGATGTCAACGCAGCAAGAGATGTCCTTGAAAAGATACCCTAGAATTTGAATTTGAGAGGAGAGCATGTTTCAACTGTAACTTGTCAAGTTATTGGATTTGGGACTGTCCCTATCCTGTTGTTCAACGGGAGAGGCGATGCAAATTCCCTTCTGTATGAATCCACATGAAATGTAGAAAAGCGTAGGTTTGGATGTCTACACCAGATAATGTAACAGCCACGCAATTATGGAACAGTCAGTTAAATCCCTAGATAGAGAAAAGCAGAGTTGCAAGGCTAATGAATCTAGCTTATTGTTATCTTATGACAGCAACAATAATTCTGTTGTCATTCCAAAAATTTTACAGTGCTAGTCTTTGTGTATGTCTGCATATATTTTGTAGTTCAAACATGAAATCTGATCTGGTTGGTAAAATATGGAAGGTATGATTATTACTGTTACTTTTCACCCATAATTTCTTTGATTTTATGATATCATTGATTTTTGCTGCTCTGACTCAGTTGGTGGTGCCTGAAAGCCTCACTCTAGCACAAAGTAACAGCAGCTGATTCTACTATTGTTTGTCATGACTGCTGGATTTGCAACGGGATAATAATGTCATAATAATATAATAAGTGAAATTTTAATAAATGTGTGGTTTTTTCACTAAAAGAGAGAGAAAACAAAAGGCTATAAAAACAATTTAAAGCATTTCAACCGAGAAATATAGTAGATCTTCTGGAGAAAGATTATTTTACAGATGTAGCAGCTGGAACATTTGTAAGTTTTATTTATTTATTTTGTTGTTGTTATTTTTTGCCTTTACAAGGTGAAGTCCAATTATTGGTTCATTTAGAATAAAATAAAATATAGTCTGTATATTATGTTATTGTAATTTTAATTAATTGAACCATTTCCTAATTTTATGGATATTACTGAATGTTTTATGTCAATATTCTTTCTGAATTTTGTCAATTACTTTTACTTGTAGTATTGTAGCATGTTTTTGGTTTTGAATACGTGAATCTAATTATCGATCCATTTCTTTTCTAAAAGCAAGTTTGAGTTCTTGATCAAACAAGCTTAGAAACCTTCAAGGTTAGAAGCAATGATCATTACCCATAATGTAGTTGACTTTCAATACAGGCAATCATGTTTTCTCCTACCTGTTCCAAGAATCAGAAAATTTAAGTAATGGTGACCATCCTAATAAAAAACTTATACATGTTGAGTAATACATCTAACACCGTGTGTGCATGAATAAATATTTTGTTTGTTTTACCTGGATATTCGAATGTTTTGTTCATTGTTTGTGTTCGTTTTATTCTTCTGCAAAACTATTTTTGAGCCCCCTATTCTCGTAGGTTTCAGTTTTACCTGTGAACACCAAATTAGCTATGTACACTTGTTCTAAAGGTAAACTACAGCATCACAATAACTGGAGGATTTGTATTTACTTAGGAAAGTTGTAATTCAATATCATTCATATAGGAATGAAAGAGACTAATGCCATTGTGAAAGCAATGACAAATAAAATATTTGAATAGAAAAGCTTTCAATTTTTTATACTTATGACTGGTTTAATTTCATTAAAAAAATGAATCTGTACGTCTTTGTATGAATGTGATTGACGAATCATCCTATCAGATGAAACTTTACAGTGTATAGGTAAGTAAAATTGTTTGACTCTCCTAAATGTTGTCAAAACATGTCTGAAATGCCTATCTATTAAAGTCTGCATGACTGATCTATTTTTAGGAAATCATAAACACAATAAAAGTTTCTAAATTCGAAAAACAGTGAATATAAGAGAATTTTTTTCAAGTGCTATAAACTTAGCTCTATAATGAAATCAACTTTTATAAGTAGGGCCATACCCACGTTTTGTTATATCAATCTTAAGCATAGAACTTTAAAGCAATAAGGAGCTAGTCATTATATCTAAAGGTAGAGAGCAAAATAAAATTAGTAATATCAAAAAGTTGCACTATTTATCTAAGAAAACTGTCACTTTTTGAAACATCCTGTACCATGTCGGGATTTTCCTTAATAAAAGTTATTATTCTTAATGTGCCTCTGGTGAACTTTAGTTCCAGTACGAAAATTAGTTTTATAATCATTTAGAATATTCAGATTCACAGTCTGATTCCTCAATTTTCAAAGTTTCATCTAATGTCATGCATTTCGTTAGGGTTACGTAATTTGATCACAAACATGTATCTGTACTTGGTTGCCGATATATATATATATCTTTCATTGAATTTGAACAATTACCAAGTTACAAAAAGCATACGAAATAGGAATGGGCAGAAAGATAGCCACACCCACTTTGAGGTTACACTATGTCAAAGACGAACAAGTGTTGTAATGATATTCCACCCATTCTTATCTGGTTTCCTTTATTATTTTCCCGGTGGGACAGTAGTAAGTCTACAGGTTTACAATGCTAAAATAAGGGATTCGATTCTCCTTAGTAGACACAGCAGATAGTCTAATGTGACTTTTCTATAAAACACACACACACACTCCCACTTCCTAAGTTTTTATTTAATTTTTTTTTTACACTTGTCTTATAGATTTTTTGGTACGAAGTCTGGAGAGTGACTGGGCTCTAGGCCTATCCTCTTCGTAGCTTTACTTAGATCTATCTCTCGACATATCCTGGCTTTTGTTGATATCTTTACTTAGTTGTTTTTTGTTGTTGTTTTTTTCATATAGCCAGGGTGGCAGCATTTTCTTTGGCTGGATTAATGGCTAAGGCTTGTTTCGCATATTCAGCATTACTGTTTCTAATCTTATTTCTATTCTTGCAGTAATGCTCTCTTCACTTGGGCAAAGACTTTTCAACGTTATCAACATAAGATTTTCTCTCGTTTTGTTCATTGAAAATTATATTTTAAAAGTTGCACTGTTTCAACTACAACCTTAGATGCCAATAGGTCACACTTAGTTTGAAAACAATTCAAAGGTAAATTATACAACTTATCATTCTTGATTTAAGTCCAGGGCACTCGAGTAAAGCCGTGTCAGTCTTCGGCAGTGGTGGCGTTCGTCCTCAGTTACAAAACTCACGTCTTATGTACCGACTGGTATGATAGAATTGTTTTTTCCACCACAGAACCCTCGAGTCAGATGTAATGAATTGAAAACTTCGCTTTCAAAGGTTAGATCATAGTTAGAACCTAGATCAAGAGAAACTATGTAGTCCATATTTTTTATCTAGCTGATACAGCTGCAGGCAGATCATGTAGCGCATGATATGAGGGCAGGTTGTTACTTGACAGCCCACAGAGCATGCTCGTTATCATAGAATATGGCTACTAGTGTGCTGTTAGCTCGTTAGTAGTGTTGTAAAATGGTTATTGTTATTACTTGTTATTACCAAGGTTATAAGTAAAACAACGAAAACTGTTTTAGTCAAGGTAGCGTAATTCAAGCAGTGCATTTAGATTTGCATAAGGTGAAGGTAGGGGAGAGTTATGCCCTACCAACAACGTTAGTTAGTCAGTCAGTCAGATTCACAAATTTGTGGTTTTGTGAAAATTTTGTTTTTACTCTACTGGCTTTTTCAAGTGTTTGGTGGCTTGTTACTCTGCAGTTGGACTGTTTACTACTCAACAGTGTGTGTAAAGAGCTTATAAAGTCTTTGTTTACAGTTTGTTTGAAATTTTAACTTGTACTGCACATATTTCACATCTGCCCCATTCCTACTATACGTACTACCATACATACGATACATTCATAAAATGGTTAATAATACCAACTAAGCCACTCATTTTACACTATTTTCATTAATAAAATAGTTAATAATACTAACTAAGCCAATCGTTTTATACTGTATTCGTCTATGAAATGTTTAATAACACGAACTAGACTACTCATTTACACTGTATTCATCTATGAAATAATTAATAATACCAACTAAACTACTTATACTACACTGGATTAATCTAAATTACTTTTCTGTTTTCACTTTGGAAGACTTATAATTGCTCTGACTTTATTGAGCGTAAAACCGTTAGATGATCATGATCAATGATAATTTGTAACTATATGGATAAATACAATCATATTTACAATAATTATCAGCTGATCTTAAATTGGATGTAAGGCCTAAAGAAGCCCAGTGGTCAACTTGCTAGGCCAGCGATGTCCAACAGTTTTTTCTTAATCGCCAAAATTGTGGAGAATGTGTTAACAATTTCGCCACATGACAAAAACAAATTAAATGTGCTTTTATAGATAAAGAGGGGTACAAAATTACACAACAATGTTTCCAATTATTTATTGATAGAATTAATGAGAAATCTGGCATATTTTTTCATTAAGTAGTACAGGGAAATCAGGCATAATATCAGTTAGACGACATCTCAATTCCGCCTCCAAATTTTCGTCCCATATCTGTGACCTATATATTAATTTCACCATTTTTACCGCAGAAAAAGTTGATTTTCAAAGTCACGTTGACACTTTTTTAAACTGGTACATGCATAAATGAATTTTATTAAAAATTATATTTAAAAAAATAAGTGGTAGAAGTAAATCCCCAATTTGCCATAGGTCAGTAGCCGTTTCGCCACATGTGGCGAGTGGCGACCGTGTTGGACACCGCTGTGCTAGGCTGTGGATCCTAGGTTCTGTGGTTTGCGCCTTATTACCGCTTCCCCACTCCCAAAAAATATCGTTGTAAGTATGACGATCCAATTCCACTTTTCGATTGGCAAATCCCACGACTTGAGGGTGGGTGGATTTGATTAGCTGCCTTTCCTCTAATCTATTATTTCAAGATAAAGGACGGCAAGTACAGATAACCCTTGAGTAGCTTTGCACGAAAATTTAACAAAGCAAGCAAACAAAAATATCGAATGTATTTAACTAAGTTTATACTACTCGAAAGTTAAATCAGTTCTATGTGAACTGACTTCTGACACTATCGTGCTTACCCAAAAGCAAAAAAAAAGAGCAAATAGAATTAAGAAGGTAACGTCACGACAATGTCGCTCTTTCACTGGCCCGTCAAAATTTTCTAAATCAGGAGGGATAGGTCTTCCATTCACCTGAAAAAAAATAAAAAATGTTTAGGCAAAATGTCTGTGTTCTAATAGTCATATATAAGCATATTTGCCTTATTAAGAAAATTGTAGCTAATTATTGCCTTTTCATTGATTATTTAGTTAATATTTCATTTCGAAGTTTGTTTTATCTGTTTCTATGGAAATAAACGTAGTGAGCATGTAAGATGACGCACAATATCGACATTAAACGTTTATGCAAATATTACGTTATTATACGGAAATATGTATAGTACATTGGTAAAGTTAATCTTTGTGCGCCTGTGTGTATGAGACACAATAAGTGCGTTTTGGTTTAAGAGCTCATAATTTGTGTTCATATAAACATTTATATGCATAAAACAGTTAGTAGGTTTTCTGTTTCGTAGACTATATTGAAAGTAGGGAGAATGTGATGTTCTAATGTTCTAGAAATCTCTGTCTAAAAAAACTTAAAAACTAGAGTCTGTGAACATTTAGGAATATCTAACAGAACCAACCATCCACTACTTAAACCCAGCCACTCATCCATTCGCTCTCATTCTGAAACCACAGGTCACAATATTTCATTTAACGATTTCTCTATCATCACCACAGGATCTTCAGACCTTAACCTCTACATTAAAGAAAGTCTACTGACAGCTAAAGACCGTCCGATCCTTAACGACTCACAAAGCTCTTTAGATCTAAAACTGTTCTAAATTTTCACACTTAACTCAGCTGTTGTGTAATATATATATATACAAACATTGTTTCATTCGTCCATTTACCGTTTTTCTTAATAATTAACTAAACTAATGATTATGTTATTATATTATAATTTTAGTAATAATCATCTTTTTAACACAATTTTCAGATTTCGCTGAATATGGAATAAGTTAATCCGAAACGTTCGAACCTTGTAAATAAAATGTTTTATGTTCTATCAACCGTCTTCATCTTCATTATTAAACCTCGGTTTCCCCATCATGAATCCATTAGAATATTGATTTAACAATTGACGGAATATGTATAACAGCCTGTATAATGGTAGAATCTTTCTTTGCTTACCAGGTAATACCAAAACCGGTCTATAGCAGGACTGGCACAAGGGGTTGTTAAAATCATATATATGGAACATTAAGATTTTGTTTTAACAGTGTATTGAATAATAAAACATTGCTCGAATGGCGTAGGAAGTACCAGAACCTAGCGCAGAGAACATTAAACTTTCCCTTAACAACACATGACACATAGATCATCGTTTCTACAGCACATAGAGGAATAGAACCTTTTTTACAGCACATTGAACTTTAAGACTGTTTCTTAAGTCTCATCTGGGCGAACATTATACCTTTGGCTGAATATGTATGTTTCACCTGATTCGTTTTCTCTAACTTTCGTGTCTACGTGTGACTGTTGTAGCCCTAATAAAAGGTAAAGAAACTCTGTAGACGGTCGAAGTAGTCTGTAGATATTTCAATCTTTATTAGCTGTAATTAGGAATAAAGGTTCATTTATTTTAATAAAACTTAGAAATAAAAATGATATGTTAGTGTTATGCTTGGAAAATTTTGTGCGTTATACAAGCTAGAATTGAATAGAATTTCATTTTATAGTTTTACGAGTTGAATATTATTCGTAAAAATCTAAAACATTCTCAACAAAAATGGTATTAAACAATAGTTAACATGTATTTTGTTACTGTTTACTTAGACTTTCTAAGTTAGTTAACCCTTATGTCAATAAAACTGCCTTTTCTAACTGTCATTTACACACTGTAAGAAGGGTAGAAACTTTTCCCCTCCTACCCCTATAGTGACCCTGTTATAGGGACTTCATCTAATAATCTCTAATACCGTTTATGAATAAAATGGACATTTTTTAAATCTACCATCATTTTCAGCATACGTTTGAACTCTTTTAAGAAAAATAATTTTATTTCTAATAGAGTTGAGCCCACACGTTACGTTTTGTAATTAAAATTAAACATACCGATGATGAGTGTACCCTAGTAGCTGCTCCGAAACATCCCATCTTTACTCGTTTCTTTCAGGCTGTCATAATGGTGGAGCTATAAAGAAGAAGAACAAAACAAAAACAATTAACCGAAAGTTTATTTTCGAACACTTGTCAATGCTTATTTATCTTACGTTAGATCATTAAATATCCAATTTTCCACTTTTTTGAGCTAATAAAGTTTTTAAAAAAGAAATAAATCGCATTTCTACATAATAACATAAAGTTCTTAGTAGTTAAGTCATTGTAGAGAGCTCTTTATTAATGATACAATCGCTATACTGCTGACTTTCAAATTTGTATATGTATGATATAAGATAGCTATTGATATTTTTATTAATCGCATCCCTGTATATAAACGTCACCTGGTGGAAGCACTATAAACGTAACACTGTAATTAGGTCACTAGGAACTAATTGTTAGTTTCGAGTTAAGATCAGTACAAATTATTTGTAAGACTAGCTCTTTTGTATATGACCAAGTTCTTTCTATAGTAGTGAACTTACAAGTTGCAAAAGTTCAAAGATGCCTTTCTTTTAAATTTCATAGTCTATGTTTTTATGTAATATTATTATTTACCACGATTTTACATTCTTGCTGCTACATCCAAGCACACAATATATATCCCAGAAGAGATAAAACTTTCTGATGTAATGTACAGTAACATTAAACAGTAAACAACGAAATAGACACTATGCTACATCGTAATGGAAATGGAACTACATCATAAAGTACTTTTTTTTTCTACCTAAGTACAGAAAGCTGTTTTATCTAAAATCGATATGGTTGTTAGATTTTATTTATTTTTTTATAAGTTGACGTCATGGGCTTTTATTTTCTGTGTATTTGCTTTGCTTGGCGCTTTTGATTAAGAAAAGCCAAGTTCTCAACACGCGAGACATACATTAACCTTGTTATTATCACTTTCGGCTGTATACAGACTATTCAATTGCATAGATACGCTATTTTGTTTTGGCCACCAGTACGGATATTAAAAATGAACAAGTTTTAAGTAGTAATCAACTGACAACACTTTCACGGTGCTTGGAAGTTCTACATTTCCTACAATACCCTTGCTGTACAGATAGGTCCCGATATATTTACCGCTGATAAAACTTAATGTGAGAATGATATCAAATTAAGATGTTACTGAGTTAATTAGCTTGGTTATTCAGATATCAAGGACTTACTACATTATAGTCCTTAACACATCAAACGTTTCTAGATCATCTCCCATTGTAATATTTTATAGTATTGACCATTCAGTAGAAGATTCTTGTAGGAGGATCACTTCAATTCAAGAATGTGGCAGTATTGGTGTAACTAGAGTGTAGTAGTCGTACATTAGAAGTGTATTGTGAGACGCTTTGGTTCACGAATCTCCTTGGACATTGTTGTTATGTATGCTATAAAGGAACTTAACTACAAACATTTAAAACCTCGTTAAACGCACTCTTAACACTTTGCCGCCCAAACAATTTTATTTCTACGTTTGGTATTCACAGGTAAGACTGTGATCGATGTGTGGTATTAAGTATCGTAGCATGGAAGGTTTGAAACAAATGCTTGTAGAAGAATAAAGCAAGCACGGACAGCACAAGAAATACTTGAATGTAAATGTAAGACGATGAACTAAATCTTTATTCTATTTCTAACAAAAGAAGGTATTGGGTCTTACAATAATAGCTGACCAGCTTCTGAATTCGTTCAAAATATTTTACTATTCGAGCTGTAAGAAAATGTTACTTAAAAAAAGAGAGTAGAATTCTGATTATCACACACTATCGAAACAAACTATATTTTAGTGCAATATCCCACAATCCTAGATTAACCATGTCGGTGACCATTCTCTTTATGCATTCAAAGGACAATTTATCTCCTAGATCATACCTGCCTGTACGAGCCTTTGCTCCCTAGGGGAAGTTACGATACAGAAGACTAGCTGTTGTTGTTGTTGGCAGTTATTTTGATTTAAAAATAATTATTTCATAAGAAATAATTATTAATCAAGGGTGCTCGAAGATTAAACAATCCACCTTCACCCCGCGCGTGGTCTAGGAATATGGGCTTAACTTGAGAAAATAGGAAATTAATGTAGACAAGGTATGTAAGTTTAAAAAGGTAAACGTGAGAGTAATGGTAAAAAAAAAGTGAAGTGCAAAGTAGACTAAACTAAACGGCCGATGTCGGACTGATGGTCCATCAGGGCGGCGGGGATCTAAAAATCCTATGCTAAGAATTTAATGTGGGGGGAAACAGAAGTACCCCGAGAAGACTAGCTAACTGAGTACAAGCTTTCTTAAATGATCGTTGCAATATGTAATCTTGGCCTTAGGCGATGTTTAAAGCAACTTTGCAACTACCTACATCCTGTATAAGACCTTAAATAAGTACAACAAACCTTTGTAAAAATAAATATTTGAAAATAGTCCTCAATATACCTGAATAAAGGTGCATTCTATGGGCGGGCACAGAAATTTCAAGGGGTGGGTGGGAAAGAGGTATCCTCCACCTGCTAAGGGATTCGTGAGCATCTCCCATGAAAGTTTTATTCATTAACCTGCAACATATTTCCCAATATCAATTAAAATAATGAGCCCATCATGTTCCTTTATTGCTGTGATTTACTATTTATTTATTTATTCGTTTAAACCTTTTGTCTTTCAATGAAAAATCACGTCTACAAATATTTCAATTTATGGCCAAACAATTATATTATTCATCAAAATAAAGAGAAAAATATTTTTCTTTTAATGTAGTCTAAGTTAATTACTATGGTTTTTTAAAAACACATTAATCTTTTTTGTGCTTAGAAACTTCACACAAGTGCTGACATGAAAACTCATGTGCATCAGTTATTGCAGAATACAGACATTTCTTATAATCCTGTGGACACTGTGGTACATCTGCGTAGAGGGGCCATGCATCATTTCTTCTTGGGACTGTACTTCTTGTCTAGGGAACACAAGGTTTGGAGAACAACCAGTCAATTGTTGCTCAGACGGTGGTGGGTACTTATCCCAATTAGTTTGGACAATGTCCATACACTTAGCAAGTATTTGCTTAATATTTTCCATTCAACCGAAACCTTCAGACCGAATAAGTAATTGTGAAGTGTGCATTTCACCACCTCAAATACTGAACAAACTCTTCAAGCAGCTAATTTTTGAAGTTTATTCCTTGAACTGTATGTGCGTCTTTTGGGGTACTCTGAATCATGTTATCCACAACTCAACCGATTAATCGGTGATGGAGTTAACTAAGATAATTGACCAATCAGTAAGCTTTGGTGCCTACTTAGTGAAGTAATTAATAATGACCAGCACATACCGATTACTTTGTTAGTTTCTGGCAGAGGACAACACATCTCAAAGCTATTCTCTGCATATAAAAATCAACACTTTTCTTCCACAGTATTCCTTTGACATGATAATTTTTTCCCCTGTTCATCACACATGGGTCATTCAATGAACAAACATTTTCTCATTGACTGGTGAGATAATTGTTTATGTTTCTATGCTGTTCACCTGGGTGGTGTTTTACAACAAATTTGTATTCTTACAGTGTCACGATACAATGCAAAAAACGATACCTTCCAGGTTTTTGAAGTTCATCAGCTATTTCTGTGACACTTTGTCCATTAAACTAGGTAATTTCTTACCACAGTAGTGGTACTGTTTGGCATATATTACAACTGTAAGTAGTTCTTTCTATGCCATACTGTAATCATTATTCAGGCGCTGTTAGCATGCAGCTAATATACATGATTATGCTCTGTACATTTGACAAACTGCTACAATTGAATATCAATGATATAAATATTCAAGATGAATGGATAATCTTGAAAAAGATATGCCAACACCAGTTCCTAAACTAAAGCAAACTTTAGGGAATCTAATATTTGTTCACACTCTTTTCTTCACCCAAAGTGCGTGTATCAGCCCTACTCGATACACTTTCCTGCTTTTTCATAGTTACATATCAGCACTGGCACAACACAAAAACTCAAATATACACACATCCTGATGAGCGCAGTGTTCTTGGGTGATGTCAGCAGTGGAGCAGTGTGACGTGTAAAAAGAGCATTATTGTTCCATTCTCGTCACTTCAGCCACTGTACATCTATAGGAACCACTATAGCTGATAGGGCCACTATGGTCATATAACTTTATTACCATATTAAAAATACATACAATTTTTATGCACAAAACATTTTAAAACATGAAACAATAACATGTATACACACTTGCAGTATACTGGCCCTGTGGTTTCTACTTCTTGCTGCACTCTTATGTCATGTTTTCCCCTCAAATACAGCTTCCTTCTCTCCACCACAAATTCTACACGGTTTCAGGAAATACCTTTTCGTAGTCAAGGTTTACCAGTTTAACAGCAACCAGAAAGTCACATTGAACAAAGAAGCGTATTTAAAATATGCTTTACAAAAACAAAAAAAATTATCAAGCACCAAAATTAATAACTTATTATATGGTATTCACAGGTAAAATTGTAACAGACAGGTAAAAATTACGTACTGTAATGTGAGATGTTCAAAAGAAGTGACTGCAAAAAAATGCGGTAAACATTGACACCAAAGGAAAGACTTGAGAACAAATTCAAAAATTCAAAAACAAAACGTTTAGCCCAGTTCACGCTTAAAACAGTACGAGGTCTTACAACACTGATTTGGTAGCTGCTAAGCTCGTTTGAAATTTTGGCTGCTGTAGCTGAAAAAAAGAATGCCTAACTTTACAAAATTCAGCAGGATTATTATCATACCACGCTTTAAAGTCATAACAAATTCCTAGTGCAGTATAAAACATTCCTAGATAATCTATGTTAGTGATCATGCTTTCAAGAAGAAATTTACTCACAGCTCATACCATTTTGTGCAAATTTCTGCTCTATCCACACTTGAGGAGAAAAGTGATACAGACGCCTAGCCAGTGAAAGCTCTCTGTGGTGTATAACAGTAGTCTTAGGCGGCGATTAAAGCAAGTAGCGACAACCTACATCTTGTTTACATGGACATTAACTAAATGCAACGTATCTGCA